TTATTATTATTATTATTATTATTATTATTATTATTATTATTAATAAATATCATATCACTATTCGAAATTATTTTGATATCTTTAAATATTTATGTAAATTTATTATAAAGCAATATTTTTCTATTGTCTATTTTTTTAATTAACTAAAATAAAATACTTAATAAGTTTGTAAATTGATTAATTTATTATGCTATTTATCACATTTGTAATAATCTCAATATGTTTTGCAACTATAACATATGATAGTGACTATTTTTATGAGTGGAATTATGATGCTGTACCAGGTTTTACATGTTGGGGAGGGAGAAGTTTTGATAAAACAATATCATTTTCAGACTCATTTGCAAATATTCCCAAAGTGTTCATCACTTATGAATTAATAGATTTACATTGGAGTTAAGATTATGAAACTATAGGTTTTAATTTTAGTATTTCAGATATTACTTTAACAAGTAAATAACTTATTTTTTTATATTAGACTTTGCCATACATCTGAATTGTTAATATGAAAGAAACTATCGATTCAGAATAAGGTGGTTTGCTATTGATGATTAAAGAATTGATGTTATTAGTTAATTTAATCTAATTCCACCTTAGAATTGTAGTTATTATTATGCTAATATTAATGTTGAGAAACACTTCATTACAATTACAAGTTTTAGTGCTACAGGACCAACAGATATTTAATTATTAGTAAATTCTTATTTAAATATAGGTTTACTTTACACCTCCAAATATAGTTACATTATATATTCCATATGTTATAGGAAGATCAGAAAATTTGAAATCTATTGGATTTTAATTAATTTTAGGAATTGATGAAGCATTCACTAAATCTTAAGCTATTTTATCAGTTTCAAATTATGATTCTTTAGTATATGATCCAATTTAATCAAATCAAGTTGAGTTATATCCATTTTCAGGATTGGCTTATTTGGATGAACATTTATTTCAATTAGTGGTAGTCATCAATGATAATGGTGTTGGTACAAAATATATAATACGTGATTGTATAGTAATAAAAATATAGATTTTAAGGGGGAGCTGGTTATACTGCTAATTATCATTAGAAAGTTCGAGTGTTGAAATACTAAACCAAATTATTTTAACCAATACTTTGCAATTTTATTAGATTTTCTTAGAAACTTGAATATAGAGGTTTACCTCGACCTATGTTTTCAATAGAATTTACTATTGATTCATAAGTTTATACATCTAGTGGATAAATTCTCATAAGCAAATCTATATAAAACATAGAATTATATATAAATTGTAATTGTATCAATGGTAAAAAAATAATAAGTAAATTTTTTAAATGTGAAAATTGTCCTATAAACAAAAATAGTTATTAATTTTAACATTCTTGTTATGGTGCAATTAATTTATTATTTATTAATGCAAGATTTATTATATAAACAAATGCTATTTAATAATTATAAATTGATATCACTCCTCAAAGTTGTAAAATTACATAATTAATATTCAATTAATAAATATAAACTTTTGTAATTGTAGATATATAAATGATTGATAATTGAGAATAAATTAATGAATGATTTAAATGATAATATATATTTCCTATTTTCAAATGCCATTATTTTCTAGATATTTATATAGATAAATTAAATCAAAAATATCAATAGTATTAAAACCATAGTCTTATCTATATCAATGTTTAATAAAGGTTGCAATGCTTTTTGGAAAATATTAAGAATCTATATATTACAAAAGATAGTTATTATCTATAATATTTTTATATTATTTTTAATTATATAAATAAAGTGAGTTGCTTGTTACAAAAACCATTTTTATAAATCAAATTCTAATATTAAATTTCATAAATAAGGAGTATAAATAATA